GGGGGGGGGGGGGGGGGGGTTGGGGGGCGGCCGGGAAACCCATGAAGCCGGTAACACTTGGGCAGCCCTTTTCGCGTGGCTGGGAGGGAGGAGGGGGAGTTAGGGCGGGGACTTTGGGGAAGGGACGGAGTTGGGGCGGGGCCGGGGGTGGGAAAGGGGTGGGGCCAGGACCTGTGGAGTGTCCTCTTTTTTATTTTTTAAATATGGTAACCCTATTTGAAATATTTGAGTAAATCTCAAGGGAGATGGTTTTGTGTGGAGGGCAGGCAATGTGGTCAAAGATCAGTGGAAAATAAATAAATGACATGCTTCTGCAGTTTAACACCAGGATATCCCCTCAATATATAGTACATATTGCATTTATCATGCACTTTGATTGTTTTCCTTCCCTCAGAGATCTGTACAGTTAGACTCATGGTACCTAGGGAGCCTGACTTTAGAGGTAGAGGGGTATAAAACATAATATCAACAAAATCACTCAAAAACCCTCTAAAATTTTCTGAAATATCTTTCCCTGGCATATACAGAAAGGATAGTGTGGTGTAAACTAAAGATTTCAGTGTCATGGCTTTTGGCTGGCCTCACTACTTAGGAGTGGCAAACTTGCAAAAGAATTATGCTGGTTAACACAGTTTAACAGAATCCTTTACTAAGTTCAGGCCTGAGCAGAGTGGAATCAGTCAATCATGGGAAGACAATGCTTGGTACAAATTTTGCATGCTCCCAAAACACTTAAGAGAATTCTGTTTCAATTTAGCATATGGGCCCAAAGAGTCAAAGGTGTTAACATGACCCTGAAACTGTCCAACATTACAGTTTTAAACACAGTTTGTGGTTTGGTATATAGAGACTTCAGCCCACATAGTACCTTGGCAAATACACGATTATTTTTTTAACCTTTTATTAAGGATACAGAAAAGAAGACAGACAATTAAAGCACTTGAAATTTAAAGTTTTAAATAAGGCTTTAATTTTAACAATATCCCTTGTTCCCTTTCTCTTTAGCTGAAGAGTTTTTAGAAGGAAAAACCCCCTTGTTTGACAGTCTCTTAGATGGTATTAAAGATGGTAATAATAATTAACTTTTCGGGGGAAAAGAGAAGAAGTTAGTTAAGATGGACTGGAGTTGTTGTTGTTCCAGTCCTGTTTCCTAGAAGACAAAACAAGACAAACAAAAAGGGGAAAGAAAATAACAGCTCAGATAGAAAATGCAGTTTGTGTCTCTCGTGTTGACACTCACTTGCAACTTACTTCTGGAGAAACATAGGCCCAGCATGTGGTCTTATCAACCACTCCAAGACCTGGCAAACTTGTACCAGCATCCGTTGTTTAGAGAATTGCATTTTGCTGCCTCTTTCTGGCCACAGGCTTACAGTAGTGTTGAAAAATATACAGTCCTGGTCAGATTCGTACTAGACAGAAGGAAAAAGGAGAGAGAGAGAGAAAAGAAAAGAAATAAGGTAGGGAATGAAAAGGACACATTGGTGGAAGAGGGTGTGGAGACTAAGTCAGCCATTATCGTGAGTAGCCTCCATCCATTTATCTGTATTCCCCCCAAAAGTCTCTCTTTTTTTTAAGAACCTCAAAAGGGAGTGTTGGGTGGAATAACCCATTCTCTCAATCTTTTATCCACCAATTAGAACTAATTTCGGACACAATAATTTTGGTTAATCGATTTCTGGTCTCACATTGTTCTTTGTCTACCAGGCATGATTTTAACACAGTCCTTGAATTATAATATCAGTAGACCTTTTTGTTTGAACGTATTCAGTCTTTGCCTCTTTTTTGCACCTTTCTCCATCTGCATTTATTGTAATAGGTTACCATGGCATCTTATGAACTTTCTCTCACTTTTTACAGTTGAGCTTATAATTAGGCTTTATTTGCAGGCCTAATTATTGCAACAGTTAACACTCCACAGATTCTCTACAGCTGAAATTGTAGGACTTTGGGTCAGGAGTAGAGATCCCTTGACTCCTATACCCTTCACCACTGGGGTTAACAATGGTCTAAGATCAAAGAACCCAGGAATAGCGGCATGATTTGAAGTCATTGAAGTCAATGGGTGGCATTTGATGGTCACCATGGCTGAGCACTGGAACAGGCCCTTAGAGCCAAAAACTTTTGAGTTCTAATCCTGGATCCTCAACCCCCATTTTGTGTGTCCCTGTTTTGTCTCTGTTTTCCCATTTGTGAAGTTGCTGTTCTACCTCAAAGGGTGTTGTGAGTATTCATTATTTAATATTTGTACAATGTTTTGAAGATGTTAATTACTGCAGTATAGAGACCCTAATTCAACGGAGCACTTATGTTCATGGTGAACTGTAGGCTTGTGCTTCAATCCCATAGATGTCTAGGGATCTGTGTTGGGGTAGCAGTCTGCCTGTGTGCAGTCAGTTGTAGGATCAAGGCCCAAAAATGCAAAAAGAAATTATGACCTCTACAAAAATTTGTGTAAACTTGTGAACAGTCATTCAAAATGCCATGCATCTGTGTAAGTGCTCTAAATATTTTAAACAATTTTAATCCTTTTACATGGGTATTCATGATTTTCCAGACCAAAACCTATTGCCAGTAATCAAAGCTTGATGCAACTTGAGCTGAAGTTGGTTACTATTACAGAACTGGAAATATTTGTGGTAAATTAAGTTTCACCATATTTTTCCTGTTTGAATAATCATCAAAAATTGATTTAGAATAATTTCTAGCAAATGACACATGGTAGTACTTTCCAGCAGAGACTGGCCAGGTACATAAAAATAGTGTAATGCAAATACGTGGCTAAATCTTTTTGTACTGGAATAAACAGTTCCCCAGTAATTCTTATTGGTTTCAGACGTATTTTCTCACTTAAATGTATTAATCATACTGTTTTATATTGGTATTTCTAGACTTGTCAAATTGCGTATCTTGGAGTTAAGAGAAAATCATTTGAAAACTCTACCAAAGTAAGTGAGACTTAATGTATTTTTTAACTAAGTTCTGTCCTGAAGTTCACAAACAATGTAAAATATTTCCACTGATAATGGTGCAATCTGGTTGAGTTATGTTTACATAAGTTGTTTTTATGTAAGTTATTTTTTTTTCTGTTGTGTAAAGAAACTATATATTTATGGAATATGTTAGACAAGAAGTTGTTGTGCATGCAAGTTGTGCATGCAAGTGGTGAGCAAATCACATATGGAGGGGGATGGAGACAGGTAAAACAAATTAATGTGTATAATTCAATATGCATCATTTTAAAATCTAAAACCTAAACAAAATTGGCAAATGAAGGATGCGAAAGTTAGGGCAAAACACTCGTGATCTTAGCTTAGGCAACAATACTTTATTCATAAGATAGGTATCTGTTTAGTAATTTGTTGAAAATCAGTATTTATCAGACCTTGCTAGTGTCCCATTATATGTTACTTAATTTACCTTATAGGCAGCACTTTTAAAAAGAAATGCACATATCAAAATATCTTTTGAACATTAGAGATCTTAAGGGGAACATTTGCCTTCGTTTGTCTGATTACAGCTCTCATTGCTTTCAGTGGGTAGGTATCTGAGCGCAGAATTTGTCCCTGGTGTTTTCTAAAGGAAGGTAACATTTTTCTGAGGTTGATAGGAGATTTTTAACAATAGTTAGGAGTAATTTTTCTGTATAAACTATTTCCACTCTTCTAGAAATCATATAACTTTGGTAAAAGAAACAAGATGTTATGCTGTTACTGAGAAGGCATTAAAATATGGGCCCTGTCCAGCAAAGTACATGTGCAGCCATTGAGGATTTGCATGACCTGGAAGGCAACATTTATTCTTGTACACTAGACCAATTTTGCAGAAGTCAACCTCTTGTACAAAGGACTAAAATAAAATGCAACAGGCAGGAAACTCCTGCAACAATCAGCAACTCCTTGTAAATATGCTATACAAATATTTGTCATTTTTATCCTTTCCAGCTACTGATGGTCAGTAGTTGTTTTGAGTGTTCAAGAATGCAGGATCAGCTTCCTCCAACAGAATTTATACTATCAATGGTAGTCTATATCTCTGGCCCAGTCCTACTTCCATTGAAGTCAATGAGAGTTTTGCCATTGACTTCAGTTTCAGCAGGATTGGGTACAGATTGTGTGCTGTCACAATTAATGCTAGGGAGTCACATATTTCATAGCTTGTATAGGCTGATCTTATCACACACACCAGGGCTTATTGTATACAGGGTGCTTCTGGATGGGAATGGAGGGATGTAAGGAGTACACACATATTCTCCTCTCCCCACCCCCCACTGACTCCCTGTGTACTGCCCTGCCATCCCCTCTTTTTCAGGGATTCCCTGCAACCCCACAATATCCGCCCACCACAGTTGCTTGTGTGCCCCATTCTCCTTGACATACCAGTACATTGTGTGCACCCCTATTTCCACTTTCTTCCCATGCCAGGAGCTCTGTGTGCCCCTCTTCTCCCATACCAGGTTCCCTCAATCTTCCCCTGTTTTCCCCTATGTTCCCCATTTCCCCCATCCTCCCATACCAGAGTCCTCCAACCTCCTCTTCACCAGGGATTCTGTGTGCCCCATTCCCCCCTACTATATGGGGCTTTGTGGCTTCCCTTTCTCTATTTGAAGGTCCCCTATCCCCCTCCCTTACAGGAGCGCTGTGTGCAATCGTATTCCTCCCCTTTCCACACCATGCCTCCCATTTCCCCCTACATCTATACCAGGGTCTTCCAATATTCCCCCCACCTCGGATTCTGTGCGCCCCCCATACCAGTGTCACTAATTCCCTCCATGGCAGGGGTTCAATGTGAACCCTCATTTTTCCCATTCCTCCCCACCCTGATGGCAAGAGCTCTGTCTGCCTCCCATTTTTTTCTTTCCATTTCCATTTCACCCCCATGTCCACTTCACCCTTGTGCTAGTGTCTCTGTCAGCCCTCTTCCCCATCTCCTCCCCATCAGGGGTTCTGTATGTCTCATACCAGTGTCCTCCATTCTACCCCCATGCCAATGGTTGTGTGCAAACCCCAATTCTCCCTTCCTCCTCCCCCTGCCCCACCATTATTCTTCTTTCTGCCCAGGAAATAAGTAATTTGGGGTATCAACATGTTAAACTCTATTGGGAAGATGAGCAGAAATGAGTTAGGAGCATTGTTATGCTGGGAGGCAATGAGTACAATAGGGAAGTTCTTTGATCTGTAGATAATTCATAGATTCCAAGGCTAGAAGGGACCATTACGATCATCTAGTTTGACCTCCTGTATAACACAGGTCACAGAAGTCCCCCGAAATAATTCCTAAAGCATGTCTTTTAGAAAAACATCTAATATTGATTTTAAAATTGTCAGTGATGGAGAATCCACCATGACCCTTGGCAAATTGTTCCAATGATTGATTACTCTCACTGTTAAAAATTTATTCTTCATTTCCAGTCTGAACACCTCATTTCCAGTCTTATTACAGAAATGCTTGAGGCTGTGGCTGGCAGGGGCTTCATGTGTCTCCCATTTTTCCCTTTTTGGTTTTCTGATTTTCATTACAATCAATAGAGTTCTGGCTATCGACGCTTAGAACTTTCCCCTGGAATTTTGGAATTGATTGGATGCAGCATTCAAAAGTTATTGCATCACAGACAGACAAATACCACTAAGTTGAGTGTAGGGCCTTCATAAACCTGGCCAGTTATCACTATGTATGTATGTATGTATGTATGTATGTATTTATTTATTTCTATAATGAATTATGCTTTACAGGCAAATTTCTAGTTTCTAGGATGGTGATTCTATTTAGAAGATTCACAGTGTAGCTTGTGTTCTTAATAACTAAATAGCTTCAATACTTCAAAACAATGAAACAATACTTTTTTTGAGGTTGATAGGTATAATTTTATTCCCACACTGTGTTTTTGCCATTAATTAATTGCTTTGTAAACAGAATGATGTGGATAAGACATTTCTGGCTTTGTGAATGCTGCACTGACTCTTGTAAAACAGTGAGAAAATTCTAGTTGTACGTACAGTTGTCTAGTTGTCCTCTGCTCTTTGCTATGGCAGAAAGTATTTATATACCCTGCTAATAAGACCTGGAAATAAATATTATTTCCCTATGTAAATGACTTATTTGAAGGTTGTAGCTAAAACTATACGAGAAGTGGGAAATCTACATTATGAAATGTTATAAGGTGAAATTCACCTGAGGTGGAGATCATTGGCAAAAGGTCGTTTATACTTCACTTTGGGACTAGGTAGAGTGGCTATGTAAGTTTGCCTTTGCACCACCTTTATGCCATAGAAGAGTTTTCTGAGTAAGGGAACAAATGAGATGTCCCAGTATAGTGGATTGGCTCCCATTAAAACATAGGCTGCAGTTGCAGCCAGAGAGATACGCTGCAACCCTTGTCCTGTTTCCAGGTTACTAGGTGAATTCCATCTTATGCTTTGCTCAAATTCAGCACAGTTAATTGGGGTATGTATAGAAAATAACAGGTAGATGAAGACCATAAGACAATAGGCCCTGTCATGAGGGAATGGGTGAGTACTATTGATGGAGTCCGTGAAACAGAGGGGTGTGGGAATGTGGCACACAGGGAGATTGTGGCAGCGGGAGGGTGGATTAAGGGAATGCAGGCTTTTCTGGTGGTCTGATTTGCACCAAAATCAATGGTGTTTCAAAGTTGTTATGTTACAGCCAAAGAGAGAAATGCCTCGAGTTGAATGCTTTGCTCGGGAAATAAAAGTAGCATTATTATTACCAGTATACAGTGTCTAAATGAAAGGCATGTCTGTCCATTAAAAGAAGTAGTATTATAAATCAAAATATTCCTTAACATAGCTGTACAAAAAGTCATCTGGATCTTTCATCTACGGACTTGAAAGGCTTACATTTTCATGCAGCGATTTGATGAGAGAATTTGGTGATCAAGATTGAGTACACTATTGAGTAAGAGAATCTGGTTGTAGATGGAAATTATTTGAATGATTCTAATGGAAGGCAAGGCATGAAAAGGAGAGAAAAGAGAATTTCATTTTGAGAAATGTAGTTTTGAATATATATTTTTAAACATGTTGTCTGACCATGCTTCCATTTAAATCAGCTTCTATTGATTTCCTAATAATAGGAGCTGGATTGCCTTATTGTTTTTTTTTCTATTTTTATATTAAATATATTAAATATAATTTAGAAAAAACATTAGAGGTATAGATATAGGAGAGTAGAAGATACTTGAAATTCTGCATGTCCTCACAGCTGTCTTTGATACTGTATTTGAAGCAAATATTTGGATTCTTGGCATAGATAAGTATTTTTGTTTATCCTAGTTTAACAATTGCAATATATCATGCAAGTTCACAGTTCATGATTTCTATTGAGTAAAATGTATCCATGGTAACTGACTATAAAGGGATATTAAGTTATTTGCAATAACTGTACCTTGCTGAAAGGTGGCTTTCTATGCAAGCAATACATCTCCAGCATATTTATTTACTACAATTTACATGAAAATGCTCAGTGCTTTCTTTTTCTCTGTTTTAAGATTATCAGAGAAGGACTGATGGTGTCTAAAAGCATGCCCAAACATTCCATTTTTTCTCTGGACGCTGTCCTGATGGAAATTAGTGATACATTGTGCAATAAGGGTGTTTTTTATTATATATATATATAATCTTTTTGACAAGCTTATAGAACAGTCAGAATAATATATGAAACTGATCTGTTGAATATGGATAAGTAAATATCTTTCTTTCATTTTAAAAGGTAGTATTTGGTGTTCCTGTCTTTTGCCTACAGTAATTTCTTTGACAGAAAACATTACAGAGTTAGATTTATAAAGTATAATCTTTTTTCCTTGTTTAATTAATTTGCATTATACTTTGTACAAACATTCTGACAGGATTTTTACTGTAAATTAATCATTCATTTTTGTCTCATTTGGCTTATTTAGTTAATATTTATATTTCTTGCTATGAGCTTT